TGTTAGCCTCTGCACTTGGACTTCTGCTGAGTGTGTGTGATTATCTTCTCTAGTTCAAACAGGAATTAATTCAGGGAAGCCTGTGTTATACAGGACGACAGACTAAATGATCACAATGGTCCCTTCTGGCCTTATCTATGAATCGGTCATGAAACTGTTTTTTGAGCAAGACTTTCTTAAACATTCAGTGTCAATGGGTAAAATGCCCAGTGACTTCAGTGAGACCAAAGTTAGGCCAATGACGAGCTTTTTTGAAAATTCCATCGTTTCTATTTTATGGCAATGCCAAAAAGATCGCTTCAGATAGGCGTCTCCTGAGGTCTCCACACAGAAACTTGTGAGCCAAAATAATTAAAGTCAAATTAGACAACACATGTACACACTTATCTACCTTGCTCCAAGAAACCCTACTTTTAATAAAGACAATTGATTTGTCAGGTTATTTTTTAACTAAATATCACACGTAGAGAAATGAAGAAGAGTGGATGAAAGGGGCTCATCTGATTGAAATTCAGATGCTGATGGAGCTACAGAGTGATGGACAGCTAAAGGAAAGTACAGTTCTAACATTAAGGGTCAGGTTCCGTTATCCATTGGGTCGTATCTTACTCTGCAAATAGCCCTCTGACTGAAATGCAGACTATTCATGGAGTAAAGTACTACTCAGAAAGGATAAGGGTGGCAGAACTGTGCCCTAAGTTGAAAAAAAAAAAGTATAGCATACGAGATCTGAAGTAGAAAGAGTGAGATAATGCAATTTTTCTTGATGGGGAGTCAAAGTAATTGGCCTTAGCTCCATATCTTGATGTTTGATATATAAAGGAGGCTACATTTTAAATCATACAAACCAACCACAGAGGCAATGGGGCAAAGTATCCTTTTTCCTAAAGAACTGAGACACTTTCCTTCTTACGTTGTGAGAAGAACCCCTCATTTCCTTAGTGCCTTCCCTATGTTATTCCCAGACCTGATCTCTATTCAGGGGACACCATCATAGGGCCTAATCACATCAGCCACACTATCAGAGGCTCGTTCACCTGCACATCCACCAATGTGATATATGCCATCATGTGCCAGCAATGCCCCTCTGCCATGTACATTGGTCAAACTGGACAGTCTCTACGTAAAAGAATAAATGGACACAAATCAGACGTCAAGAATTATAACAGTCATAAACCAGTCGGAGAACACTTCAATCTCTCTGGACACTCGATTTCTGATCTCAAAGTGACTATCCTTCAACAAAAAAACTTCGAAAACAGACTCCAAGGAGAGACTGCTGAATTAGAATTAATTTGCAAATTGGATACAATTAACTTAGGCTTGAATAGAGACTGGGAGTGGTTGAGTCATTATACTAAGTGAAACTATTCCCCCTTGTTTATTCCCTCCCCCCCCCCCCCCCACTGTTCCTCAGACGTTCTTGTTAACTTCTGGAAATGTGCTGGAAATGACCCACCTTGATTATCACTTCAAAAGATTTTCTCTCCCCCAACCCCACTCTCCTGCTGGTAATAGCTCATCTTAAGTGATCACTCTCCTTACAATGTTTTATATTTTTTCATGGTCTGTGTGTATATATAAAATCTCCTCACTGTACTTTCCACTTTATGCATCCGATGAAGTGAGCTGTAGCTCATGAAAGCTTATGCTCAAATAAATTGGTTAGTCTCTAAGGTGCCACAAGTCCTCCTTTTCTTTTCTCTATAGAGTGGCATCCACAGCACTTCAGAAATGTACTGGAATTTTTTTTTAACTTTATTATAACAACTGAACTCAAAAAGAGGAGAGGGTGATCTCACTCGAGATCTTCACCCAGATTGCTGTGTTGTGCTGCTGTAATGCCGACAGATCCCGGTCGTCGGCGGGCAGGATTGAACCGAGGATCTCTGGAGTTTAGTTCATGAGCCTCTACGGCATGAGCTAAAAACAAACTGGCTATTAGCTAAGGCTGTATAACAGACCCATTTAACTCTCTCTCTAAGTGGTCTCAGTGCCACTAGATGGGCCAGAACGCCACACCCAGGAGGTGTGTGAGTTACACTGCATGCAAAACCAGTGGGCATGGAGGAACAAAGCTGACTTTAAACTATCTTTATTCTCCCCTGATACCTAGGGCTGGGCTGGTCCCCAGAATAATTTAAAGCTGCCTGATTTACCTTATTCCTAGCTGTCCATGGTCTCCGGGGTCTGTTTTGGTAGCCGGAGATCATCTGGGTGCAAAGGCATTCCAGCCAAGCCCCTGTTTAGCCTTGTCACCAGAGGATTCGAGCGGAGTAGCACAGATGCCACTATTAGGCCGACAGAGGACTTCCCTATACAGGGTGATATCTTGCAGGGTGGACAGTGAAGATGGGTTTATGGCTGTTTTGCGCTCCTGGGTTGTTATAGTGAATCAGGGCCTTTGTTTCCAGACTACTATCCCAATGCTTCTGCTGAAAGAGGGCGATTCTATAGACATGTTTTCATTTGTGTGATTGCCACTTTTTCCTTCCCTTCTGAACAAGCCTCAAGCATCTAGAGTATGCCCCTTCTGTTTTGTTTTGTTTTTGTTTTTGAAAGCAAATGTCATAAAGACACTGCTTGCATTTCACCTTGGTGATGAGGTTGACATCTGGGCATCAGAAGTCAGTTCTTATAGATGGATTAACATGGCATCAAGTTTTTGATGCAGTTGAAATGGATTTTAGTATTCCACCGTTCTCTGTGTCTTGAGATTGTTGGCTGGGCATTTGTATATCTACTTGTGTGACTTCAGTGGCTGCTGGACACAGGTTCTGTGATGTTCTGTCCCTTTAAATGTTTGAGCATTTCCCCCTTCCCAGTGAAAAGCCTCATTTTCCTATTTGTTTCAGTTTTGCAACCAGAACAATAAAATCAACACAGCAGACAGCTGTGTGTCTATCAGCTACCTCTGCATCTGACTGTCCATCTCTGTCTCTGCTGGCTCCAGAAATATAACAACTTCTAATTTCCTGAGACTTGGATTTTGTCCTTGAAATTGCTTCTAGCGTACTCTAAATAGACAATTCATTATTTGTTACTCTTTTAACTTTAGACTCAGGTCTAATTATATCATTCTTTTGAATATTTCTGCAAACTTGAAAGACTGCTGGCAATTCTGCATTCTCTTGAATTGATTGGTAAATCCGCTTGTTGATAATCATGATAGTTATGATTTAATTTGTACATGCCTTGTTTACGATGCCACTTGCTGGAACTGCTCCTGTAGCTACTCGGGTTTGAAATAAATGTGAGCTGAAGTTTCTGAACTGTTAAAGGTACATATAGTATGAGGGGTTTTTTTGAGGGAAATGATTTAAGGACTGGCCCTTCTACAGTGACAGTGATTGGCAAGACTTCCATTGCAATCTTATTGGATTATGGGACCACAGGCTATGGAGAGTACAGGGTCTCTGTACAACGTGATGGAGTGCTCAGTGTTTAATGAGCTACTACTATACTGGATAATACCTTAGGCAGGAGCAAGAATCTGTACAGTTTAATTTTCAGTAAGGAAGAGTTAGGTTAGATGTTATGAAAATCTTTAACTATAAGGATAGTTAAGCACTGGAACAGGTTACCTTGGAAGGTTGTGGAATCACTGTTATTGGAGGAACTGAAGAATGAGTTAGACAAATACCTGTCATGGATGATATAGGTATATATGGTCCTGCCTCTACATGAGGAGATAGAGTAGATGACCTTTTGAAGTCCCTTCCAGCCCCACATTTCTATTATTCAAATTTACAAACCCTGGATTATTATTCTATAGGCCTTGCTTTTAATTTGGTCTTGTTGCAAGCCATTTTTAAGTACGGTACTTAAATGTTCTGTATTAATTTAAAAAAGACATGGCAAGCTGTATATTTTTTATTTGTTTTTTAAATCTTTCTAGTTTGAAATTTTAAATCAGCATCTCATTAATATAATATGTAGGAGTAGCAGCATGTCAGACAGTCTTTGCTAATAGACAATGGCCCATATGCTCCTGATTACTAAATAACAAAGAGGTAAACAATCTGTAGTAACTTATTACGAGATAATTCAGAATCCTTCAGCATGAGGAAAATTCAGTGACATGGCATACTTGCAGATTGCGAGATGCATCAGTGAAGCATCAGCATGCAAATTCCATTGGAGTGCACACAGTGGGTAAACTGGGGTGCCAAATGTGTTAAAGCCGGCAGCAAATGCACCAAATTATACACTCCCAAACCAGTGTAAATCTTGAAAACAAAGTTAATGCTTTTGCAAGCACCATTAACTCCCATGCAGGAGGACTCGAATGCAGTGGAAGCTGTTGAGTAGAGATCTTCTGTTTCATGGAAGAACTGCTGTTTCACTGCATATGTAAGGTCTGTAGGTATTGGGTATTGTTTCCCGTACTTATGCTGCCTTTCTCATGTAAATCCTCATTTCACTGCTTTTAAAAAAGTACATCTCTCTCCTCCCTCTAATAACGTATGAAGCACACACTTCAGAGGGAATGATGTTTTCCCTTGTGTGAATCTTTTCTTGCACCTTGTCAAAGGTTAACACCGATGGCTTGTCTGCACTGCCACGTTTTGTCGCCAAAAAATGCCTTTTGGCGACAAAACAGCGATAGCGTACTGTAGCAGGGTGGTTACCCGCTCCTGCTCTGTGGGGCTTAAAAGCCAGCCCTGGGAGAGAGCCAGGGCTGAGGGCACGAGAAGCTAGCCTGATTCGGGAAATGGCCACAACTGGGCCTATAAAGGGGCTGCTAGGCTGAAGCTTAGCCAGAGTCTCTCTCTGTGTTCGGAGAGGGAAGGGCCTGGCTGCAGGGACCTGCGAGAATACCTAGATTGGAGAAGGGCTGAGGGGGAAAGGCCAGGGGAGTAGGGGAGCTCTGGCCTGGAAACTTCCAGGCTGTGAGGCCTAGATTAGGGCCTATTAGGTACTGGGGTTGCAAGGGGGCAGCCCGTGGGTAGACAGAGGCAGCAGATCCAAACCCCCTCGCCTGTGATGAGTGGCTGATACACTGCAGTCTGCCCCAGGGAGTGGGGCTAAGCGATGATGGACTGCCCCGGGGAGTGGGGCTAAGCCAAGACTGAGGCAAAGTGGGGATAGTGCGTGGAGGGTTCCCCTGGGTGGGGAGATCCCGAGACTGAAGGGTTGCTGCCAGAGGGGCAGCACCCCAGACAAAAGGGCACTAGGTCCAGGAGGGACACGGGGGCCAGTGACAAGCGGATCACCAGATGGCAGAGGGCGCTGCGGAGGCTGGTGAGCTAATTCTCAAGGACGACCAGCAGGAAGCACCACTGGGTGAGTCCGGCTCTATTACACATACACACTGCAATGTGACTTTTTTTGCCTAGTTTTGGTAATAAAAAACTTCCACCCCTGCGAGAGACTTTTGTCTTTTCCCCTCCCTTTATTGTCAACAAACAGCCAGTGTAGACACCACAGCTTCCCCCCCCCCCCCAATTTTATTGGCCTCCAGAAAGTGTCCCACAATTCCCATGCTGCCACTCTGGTCAGAGGTTTGAACTCTGCTGCCCTGCAGCCAACCCACCCTCCCCCTTGCAAGCCCGGGAATTTTAAATCTCATTTCCTGCTTGGTGGCTTCCCAGAGGAGCTTCCTAGGTGGCTTCCCAGGTGAGCATGGCTGGCTATCGCACCAAATGTGCTCCTGCTTGGACCACCACTGAGTTGTTGGATCTGATCAGTATATGGGCAGAGGAGTCTGTTCAGTTGCAGCTGCGAGTGACCTGTAGGAATCAGGACACATATGGGCAGATTTCTCGAGGCTTGCATGAAAAGGGCTATGATCAGGACACGCAGCAGTGCAGAGCGAAGATAAAGGAGCTGAGGCAGGCGTAACATAAGGTGCAGGAGGTGAACCATCGCTCCGGTGGTGCACCTAGGACCTGCTGCTTCTATAAGGAGCTGAATGCTATCCTCGGTGGTGACCCCACCTCCATTGTCAAAAGCCCCGTGGATACTTCGCAGGCAGCAGAAAGAGGGGGTAACCTGGATGAAGAAGTCAAGCTAGAAGAGGATGTGTGCTCCCAGCAGGGTCACCCGGTGGGGCAGGCATCTAGGAACTTTTCTCCACTCCAGAAGTGCTCAATGGGGAGCAGGAAGCAGATGAGATGCTGGGTAAGTTTCTGTGGCTTGTATAGGGAATCGAAAAGTGGGAGGCAGGTAGTGTTTTCTGTGAGCTGGACATTCCTCTGTGTAGTTAATCTGCATGGCCAAGCAGGGTGTCGATGGACATCAAGACCTGCAGGGAATCCTCCAAAGAGAGGCTCTGGAAAGTTTCCAAGAAGTACTTGTTAATCCTCTGCTGCAGATTCCAAGGGATTGCAGCCTTGTTAGTTTCCCCCATTGTGGGAAACTGTATCATCCTGTGTAGCAATCACTGGAGCTGGGACCAAAGCGGCACATACTTAAGCTGCATATAGACAGGGGTGAAAGCCGCAAGCATTCAGCAGTTGTGCCCCGGTTTAACTGGTAACCCACAGCAGCGAGAGGTCAGCCAGCAGGTTGGCTGCCTGTGAAAAAATGTGTGATAATTTTAGAATGAGTTCCCTGCAAAGCTGCCCTTCAAGCCATGAACATTTTGTCCATACACACAACCGCCTTCTCCCCACTCCCAACACTCACCATGATTGGGGTGCTCGTGGAGCTGTGCACCTGCCCAGAGCCTCACAGAGAAAGTGATTTCTACTAGCAAAAGGCCCCTATTATGAAAATGTTTCAATCATTTGCTGAAATGTAACAATCCCTCTTCTGTTCAGCACACACCTGGAGGAACACACCACGCAGACCGACTTCGCCAGATAAGGAGAAACCCTAGGCGCAGCAAAGAAGACATGTTCCGGGAGGTGCTGCAGCGTGATGAGAGACAGACCAGGGAACGCAAAGAGTGCTGGGAAGTTGAAAGGCAGGATAGAAAAGAGAATGCTGCATTTGCTAGGCAAGCGACAGAATGGATGATAAAAGTTATGGAGGATCAGACAGAGATGCTCAGGTCTGTGATACAGCTGCAGACTGAGCAGATCTGTGGTCGACCTCCACTGCAGAAGATGCACATGCACAATTCTTTGCCAATCCCACCCCCCTCTATGCCCACACATTCCTTTTCACTTCACAGCCCTCCTGAGTTTCCCCATCACTCCAACCCCCTCTCCCAGCTTGCACAATGATAGCTGGAGCTGCACACACTTGTGAGGTTTTACTCTTTTTAACAATAAATAAATGCGAAGGTATTTAATGGTTCAGTGTTTTTATTCTGTGTTCTACAAAAGCGTATAGCAGTCAATTCACTCCGGGACCAGGCTTCCAAGACATTTTGTTGCATGGATCTTGGGCCCCAAAATTGTACATGGATGCACCAGGGAAGCAGCTCCAAAGCAGACGTGTTACTGCCCCTCATTGTCAAAGTGGTTCCTCAAAGCCTCTCTGATTTAATAGCAGCACTCTGGGCTCCTCTGACAGCCCTAGCATCTGGCTGTTCAAACTGTGCAGCCAAGCGCCCTGCCTCAGTGCTCCACACCTGAGCAAACATTTCACCCTTAGATTCACACAGATTATGCAAAGTGCAGCACGCAGCTATGACCACGGGAATATTATCCTCAGTAAGGTCTATCCTGCTATTGAAACACCTCCAGTGAGCTTTCAAATGGCCAAAGGTACATTTGACTACCATGCGGCACCTGCTCATCCTGTTGTTAAAAACTCTCCTTGCTGCTGTCCAGGTGCCCTGTGTAAGATTTCATCAGCCAGGGCTGTAAGGGGTAAGCTGGGTCTCCCAGGATTACTTGGGCATTTCCCCATTCCCCACTGTGATCTTGTGGTCTGGAAAGAAAGTCCCTGCCTGCAGCTTTCTGTACAGGCCACTGTTCCTGAAGATGCTTGTGTCATGCATCTTTTCAGACCAGCCTGTAATGATGTCTGTGAAATGTCCCCGTTGAGCCACAAGCACCTGCAACACCATGAAGAAGTATCCCTTCCTATTGATGTATTCAGAGGCAAGGTGGTCTGGCGCTAAATTTGGAATGTGTATGCCATCAATCACCCCGCCAGAGTTAGGGAAACCATGGTCTGCAAAACCATCCATTATTTCATGCACATTTCACAGAGTCATGGTCCTCCGCAGCAGGATGCGATTTATTGCCCTGCACACTTGGAGTAATACAGCCCCAACAGTGGACTTTCCTACTCCAAATTGATTTGCAGCTGACCGGTAGCAGTCTGGATTCGTCAGCTTCCACACAGCGATTGCAACACGCTTCTCTGCTGAAAGGGCAGCTCTCAATCTGGTGTCCTTGCTCCACAGGTTGGAGGACAGCTCAGCACACAGCTCCATGAAGGTTGCTTTATGCATCCTAAAGTTCTGTACCCACTGGTCGTCATCCCACACCTGTATTACAATGTGATCCCACCAATCAGTGCTTGTTTCGCTAGCCCAAAAGCGACGGTCTACCATATGCAGCTGTTCTGTGAATACACAAAGCACTGATACATTGCTGCCGTCCATATCACACTCAGCTGCCTGCGATTCATCCTCTGTTAACTTTGTGAGTAACTCTGCGAGTAATTGTGCTGCCATGCGCGATGTCCTCATGACAGCTAACAGCTCATAGGAGAGAAGTGTGGGATCCATCCTCTCTCACTGCAGATGCGGCGCGCACTACAAAAGAATGACAGTTGGGAAAACGGTGTGAAAGGAAGCCAGAAAGCATTGGAGAGGTGGAACACAAAGCTGTGCATGACTGTACATTTTGCACATCCCAGGATGCACTTCACTCCGTTTCCACATTCCCACAACACCTAGCGACGGATAGTGTCGCCAGACACTGTGGGATACATACCCACATTCCATTGCTCTTGCTGTCGACAAAGGTGCCCCGGATGTGGACATGATCTGTCGACAGAGGGAGCAAATGTAGACATGCTTTGGCGACTTTGCTTTCGTTGATTTTTCCTTGTCAGCATTAGTTTCATCGATAAAACTTGCCAGTGTAGACAAGCCCTGAGTGTAGAATATCACAAATTCTCCTCCTCTTCCTCCCTCCCCCCAAAAATCTTCTTTTTCCCCTTACATTTAAAATGTGAAGACCACGAAATAATAGAGGTGTCGATATAATTGTAAGACTATGTAAAAGGTTGTATACACTATATTATGGCATGTAATACCCAATGTATAAAAGCAGTAATTGTTAACAATGTCTAGAATTGAGTAATAGCCATGTATACAACATATGCTTTTCTGCTAATTTCTAGTAGATCTCATTAGTATAGAAATATAGAATAATATGTACAAATTCTCTAATTGAACGTGGGTAAGATATGCTCTCTGACTGCTTTCATTTCATAGGAATAGGTAGATGATCTAGTCTGTTTCTCAAATCAGGAAACAAAATAAGGCATTATTATAATTATCAGCAAATTCCCTTTGATTTGCCTACACTCCTGTTTCAGATACAATCTCTGCATATGATCTTTTCTATAAAAATAAGAGGGGGGTGTGGGGAAGAAGAGGAAAACTATGTTCTTGTTGGGAGCTGGGGTGAATGTAGCCAGTTACGTTTGTTTCTGAAATCATAGCCACTTGTTGTATTTAAATACTTGACAAGTATTTAAACAGTGAAATAACAAAACAATCAAAGTAACTCTGTCAGTGTTGATGTTTTGATAAAGTTTCTCTCTCCCCCTCTCAAATTAATGTGGTGGGTTGGGCTGCCTTTGAAAAAGCTCCCACCATTTTACAGCAAAGGGTGTGCCTCACCAGTTGTCCCTTCTGGGAAAAACCCCAGATGAGTGAGCAAAGACTTCTGCCGTCTGTTATTTCTTTTACTGAAATCAAAACCCTCCACTGTTTATCACAATGTAACTCAACATTAAATGCTGGTGAATCCCAGTTTGACGGCCCAGGAAAGTTGTTATTTTAGTTTGCCCTTTTCTTTATGCACAGGAATCTCAAATCCACAGTTTGAAGGACAAACATTTCAGAAATCAATGGTGGTTACCTTTGCCTATAGGAAAGGAGTGGCAGCAGATAACATAACATGGTGGATAGGGAATTACAAGTCTGATTGTATCTTCAGTCACCAAGTGTGGCACAGAGTGCTAAGAAAGCTGTAGAGGAAATAAAGCCTTCTCATCCCAAAGGATTTGCTTAGGACATCACTGCTCCTTTCCAGTTAGTATACAAAAGACTTCTTTATTTTTAAAATGAAATGAATTGGGGCAAATCCTGCCCCCTCTTCTGTGGTCACAGAAAGCATAGAGGCAGTGGAACTGGTGTGTAGGGAGGGGTTGGCAGCGAAGGCACTGTATATCTCCAGAGATCCAGATTTAGTGGAAGGCAGTGTTGGTAGATCCACTGTTATAATGACCCTCTGACCCTTGAATCATGCACAGAATCAGTAGGAACTATTGCTGTTTCTGGATTGCAGTAGCAGTTACAGAGACACTCCATGGGCACTTGGTGTTATAAATGTGAAAGTTGATACACAGAAGTGCTGGAAAGAGACTCCTCTTTATTTCTTGGCCCCAGTCACCTGATAAGAAGATTGTAAAGGATTAATATCCCTTTTTCACGGCAGAGAGAATTTTTCACTAACTCTTGTGATTACTGTTAAATGTTAGGGAGGATTCCTTTCCCCACCATTTTCTCTTCTGAGATAAGATCAGCTGTTTGGGCTTGGAAGAGGGGTGAGGGTTTAGTTTACTGTTAAAATGCAGGCTAGTTTTTGTCAGCTCTAAAGTAGCCTATATTACTGGACAAATTATGAGACTGTTTTGCCATATTGTAGTAGATCAGAATCTCTGATTAGCAGAGCAGAAATAAAAATTGACCTGAAAATAATTTGCTTGTTGTCTCTGTAAAAATGTTCTGTCTTTTCTGGGCCCAATATATGTGGCTTATTAAATACTTCTAGCTGGAATAATTGTAATATTGCTCTGAAATAATAAAATATAGATATTCATTGAGTCATCTCATTACTGATAAACAAACAACAAAAATTAGTCTAGAACAGTGCATGGTCTTACTTGATCTCCTCCCATCACCAGAGCTTATGGCAGTTTACAACTTTGCAACGTATCAAATGGATGTTATAGTACAGATTGGAAGAGGGCACATCTGCTATACAACTTGTTTACAAAGGTGAAATGTAAATGGGTGCCTGAAAAATGAGTTTATCTGACACTGAGTAGAAAATATTTGTCCTTGCAGTAAGAGCATATCTAACTCATTGTTCTTCATATTCTGTCAAAACAAAATTCTTGCCCTCAAGGTTCAGTAAAACTAGTTATGTCTCCACTGCTGCTGAGAGTGAACCTTCCAGACCAAGTAGACAGACTCACACTAGCAAGCAGGCTTGGGTTAGCACACTAAAAAATAATACGGATGTTGTGTCTCTGGCAGAGATTGGGCTAGCCACCCAAGCTCAGAGCCGGGATGTCAGGTGGAGTTTCTTCCCAAGCTGCAACATCCACACTCCTATTTTTAGTGAGCTAGCTTGAGCCCCACTAGCATGAGTTTATCTCCCCAGCCTGGGAATCTTGCAAGTTTGTAGTTTCTCTCTAGAAGGAAAGGTTGGTGTTGTTAATCCACAACACAGCCTGTGAAGACATCACACATTCAGTTCTTATGCCTGAAGGTAAAGAAGTGCTAGCCTGATATTTGCAAAGATATTGCTACATTTCTTGGTATTTCTCTTTTTGCTCTTATGGCTACATTTTGGCCTTCTTGGCCTAGTGAAGAATAATTTACATACCACCTCTTCTGTCTCTATGGCCTGAGCTGTGACCAAAGGCATTTAAAAAAAAAGCTTGTGCTCCCAACCCATAAGTCTGAAGTAGTTAACATCAGTTTGATGGAGAAACTCTCATTATATGGAGGGTTAAAAGAATGTACAATAAAATCTGGTGTTATTTGTGATAAGTTAGCTGAGGCTGTTACATTAGCCTTTCCTTGCTATTTCTCTGTTGCCATAGATCAATGACCCCGAAAGCTGTTTTCATTGTTTTTTCTTCTCAGTTTAATAAAATAGTGAAATATATGTTTAATTGTCTTTTCCATACATTCAGACTCTTCTGTCTCCTGCAGGATTCATGTATGTACTTTGTTTTTCTTCTGGTCATTGTTGTGTAAATGAAAAATTACTTCAATAAAAATTAGTGAAAAGTTAAAGGAAAAAAACACAACCAACAAACAAAATCCACTAAGTAGTTCAGGCTTCGGGGC